GGTTTATTTGATTATGTAACATGATTGTAACATACGGTTCATAACGACAATTTGACTCCAAATGTCATGTGTGTTACAGTTGAGGGTTGGAACCTTAGGTGTTACACAGCAAAATAAAAACACTAAATCACCACAATACACCAAAACACTTTTACTTTTACACTGAATGAATCAGTGTAAAAGTAAAAGTGTTTTGGTGTATTGTGGTGATTTAGTGTTTTTATTTTTCATGTGTGTTACAAAATTATTCGTAAAAAATGCTTTTTTGAAATATGCTAATGAGCCCCCCTCGTTCCTTTTAATAAAATTGAGATATGATTAAAAAAATTATAGAGAGATCTTTTAATTGGCCAGGAAAAGACACGAAAAACATTAGATGATCAAATGTATTATTCCAAAGCTCCATGATCATAATCAAAAATTAATGGTTTTAACAGTTATCATAATAGAATGTCCTAATACTCATCTCCCCAATATTAGTAATATACAGGGTGGTCCGAACTGTATTCCGGAAACTTCGGCAGCATATTCTGCAGATAAAAATAAATAAAAAAGTTCGTATAAATGTATGTCCTAAAATCCCTAAAATGCTTAGTTTCGGAGATACAGGGTGTAGAAGTTTCTTTTTTATTTCAATTTTTTCCAAATTATTTCAGAAGTAAGATGAATATTTAGATGAAAATTGGAATCTGGCAGTTTTTTAACATGAGAAATTTGATTTTAATGTCAATATGATCCTATTTGTAGAGGGCGCCACCTACATGTGTTTTTAACTGTTTTGAAGAGTATTAACTAAAATTAGTAAATAACTTAAAATTTTCGATTCCAAATATCTCGAGAACCATTACTTTTAGCGATTTTTACCAAGAGATCTTCCTTACGTTAAAAAAAGTCGTAAATGTATATTTTTACTCAGTAGTTTTATACAGGTACGGACAAAGTTATTACTCTTCAAACCAATTAAAAAATATATATATATGTAGGTGGCGCTCTCTACAAGTAGGAGTCATATCGACATCAAAATCAAATTTCTCATGTCAAAAAACTCCCAGACGCCAAATTTCATTCAAGTATTGACGTTACTTCAGAAATTATTTGAAAAAAATCGAAATAAAAATGAAACTTCTACACCCTGTATCTCCAAAACCAAGCATTTTAGGATATACGAGCTTTTTTGCTTATTTTTATCTACAGAATATGCCGCCGAAGTTTCCGGAATACAGTTCGCACCACCGTATAATATCAATATTGTCAATTATTTTTTAACAGAATATAATAATATAGAGACGAGAAATTACATTTAAATGATAGGGTATACTTGAAAAATATATTTATGCCCACTTGCACCGTTTGTATAAACCTTGTTTAAAGGCTAAACAGTGATTAACTATAATATTTTATTTGCACCATTCCATAAACGTTGTTTATACTTATCTATATAATCGATGTTTAAACTAAACTGTCATATTTCGACGTTTAAATTTTAAACGTAGATTATCTAACTTCATTATTCTGTGTTATGTTGTCATTTTCTTTGGCGGTTGTGCTTTCAGTACTTTTTTATACTTAATTCTTATTTAAAAAAAATATAATATGGATTTTGATAAAAATTACATTTTGAAAGATGATTTGGATATCTCGAAATTATGGATTATGGATTTCCTTGAAAAATTTATTTGAGGACTATAACTATAACTATTTTGACGAAATGGACGGATCTAAATTTAAGCACTTCACTTTTTTTCTGATACGGACACATGGTCAGTTTTCTTATTTTCGTAATATATCCTTATATCTGTCACATATATTTGCAATTGGAGTTTTTTCGTCTGGACTAAAACTAACACAACGGTCTCTTTTCTGTTTAATTTCATCGCAATCCATGTTCCGAACTTATTGTAAATTTAAAAGCATACAAAGACTGTTACAAAATCATTTCCCTTTTAAAACAGAATTTATAATTTGAAAACTAGGAAAAAACCATGAAAAAACTACCTGACATTTAACATAAAAAACGAATAAACAATGTTTGAAACCATGGAAAAGGTACAAATACGAATATGAAGTTCGCTACCTATCAAAGATTGACGTTGTTGCCAAGAATATTCGCTGAATAACTAAACAAGCTTTCATTGTCCTTGGTGCAAATGTAACAAAAATAATCATCGATTAAAATATAATCAGTGATTACTTAAACGCTGTTTAAATGCAAATTGGTGCAAACGGCCATTGATGTGTTAAAAATAGCAGGTTAGTCGTGACTGACTAAGTTAAGAAAAAACTCAAAATTTTAAGTGAAGATGCAGTCAATAATCACCACATAGGCTAATAAAACTACTTTTTTCAAATTTGTCAATCTTTCGAGAATTTTATTCCCATCGTCAGGACAGTCTGACTGCGTCAATTAGCAAAAGAACATCATCTGCACAAAAAGGCCTTAAAAACTAGCATCGTATGACATTGGAATACAAGGACATTTTCTTTATAAAATATTAAAATACATATCCAACGACATTACTTTTCGGCCTTTTTGTGCAGAGGATGTTCTTTTGCTAATTGACTCAGTCAAACTGTCCTGATGATGGGAATAAAATTCTCGAAAGCTTGACAAATTTGAAAAAAGTAGTTTTATTAGCCTATGTGGTGAGTATTGACTGCATCCTCACTTAAAATTTTGAGTTTTTTTTAGTGTGTTATAAAGACCACTCTACAGCAAAATTTCAAAAAACTATTGATTTAACTAGGTTTTTATAAAAAGTTTATTACTCGTGGATCTCAAGAAATACTACCGATTCCTTTTGATATGACTGACCTAGTTAAAAGGAAATTACTAAGCAAAATTTAGTTCAAACGTCCGTCCCACGTAAAGAAAACCGCGGCTGTCTCCATCAAGAAAGTTCCCTTTGTGTAGAGATATTAAGATAAACCACAAAATGTTCAAGAAAGTTACATTTAAAGAGATGCCCTATTAAATTTTATTTACTGAATTATGAATGGTATACAAGGTGGTGCGAATTGTATTCGGGAAACTTCGGCAACATATTCTGCAGATGAAAATAAGTAAAAAATATCGTATAAATTTATTTCCTAAAAAAAATGCTTCGTTTCGGAAATACAGGGTGTATAGAAGTTTCATTTTCATTTCGGTGTTTTTGTAAATAATTTCTGAGTTAACGTCGATATTCGGATGAAAATTGGTGTGTGGGTATTTTTTGCTATGAGAAATTTGATTTCGATGTTTGCCACATACATGTTTTTTAACTGATTTGAAGAGTATATATAATATATATAATAATAACTTTCGTGTATAAAACTAATGAGTGAAAAAATAAACATTTCCGTAATTCTTTATGTAAAAAATGTCTCTTAGTAAAAATCGCTATGATCAAATTAAATATCTAGTAGGTATAAGGTATACAAATATCAAGTTTAAAGATAGATCTCGACATAGATAAAAGAAAAAAAGATATACATTATAAAAAGGACTTACTTTTATTGCATTATGAATGACCTTCCTTTACCTCGAAAATGTATTTAATGAAACTTGCTATAATATGCCAGAACATCTAATAATAACAATTGTGAAAAGATGTTAAATGAGTCTACTTACTATACATAGGTAGGTTGCAATACAAAGGTCACAAACCTTTGTTGTTACAACAGCAAAGTAAAACACTAAGAATTCACCACAATACACCAAAACACTTTACTTTTTCACTGGACGCGCGTTTCGCTAACCATGTTAGCATCATTAGCAGATGATTAAAAACTCTGTATATTTGAGTTTTAATCATCTGCTGATGATGCTAACATGGTTAGTGAAACGCACGTCCAATGCAAAAGTAAAGTGTTTTTGTGTATTGTAGTAAGTGTTTGATTTTGTTAGGTAGGTATATATCACAAAAATTCTTGCTTCAAACTATTTTTATTAAAATTTGTCAGTTGCTTATGGATTACTCAACTATTAACAACCAGAGGTGCTTAAAAACTATACAATGAACGCGTAGGTATTATTAAACATGTTTCAAAGAATTTTCTTTGGAGTCAGCTCTTCAAAAAATATTACGCACCATTTAAATTATTATTGCAATGTGTCCAGCCGAATAAATAATGAGACTACTGAGTCATCCGTTTTACAAATATTTGTTACAATAAAATTAAATAATAGGTACTAGTTCCCGTTTTCTACGCAATTTAGCTTGTTAAGAGAGATTATGTCATAGACTCACAAAAATTATTTAAAACTTTAACTCACTTTTTACTATTCACTATAAAATTTTCTTTGGAAGCAAGGAAAAAATAGAAAAGCTTTTTTCACTGGCAAGCCAAACACCTTTTAAATGTCTGCAGTATATTTAGAGTTGGATGTGTTTATTTATAAACACATAGGTAAATGTTATGTGTGTCGATTAAATCAGATAAACAAAGAGGTAATTTGGGGTAAAAAGACTTAATTATATTACTAATACTTTCCAAGAATAAAAGTGTTTATAGTAAAATAAAAGTGAACTTGATTATGCAGGTAAAACCAGTTTTTACTTATATGACTTGAAAGTGAAGTCCCCTGTCTCCCCTATAATGGTAAAATCTATTAAATAACGGATAATGGAAACTATTAAAGAGTGATTTAACAGTGCGGCAGATGTTCCTCGATGTTATTTAACACCATAAACTCTGTTATATTTCAGAATGAGTAATCTATTATAGAGCACAGAAAGAGGAAAGAACACTATTTTATTTTATTTGAATTAAGGGTTAAAATATACTAGAAGTAAATGAAGAATATGTTTAATAAATGGCTTTCCTTTCTGGGACATATTTGGGCGTGAGACTTTGAATGCCCCTCGCTCAACTTAATCAATTTCAATTATAAAATCCGGTTAAGCTCTTGTGTGAACATTATTTTAATGTTATACATTAATGACTTAATACACATTAAACCAAGTTATAGATTATCATAACGTAACTTATCACGCATAATAAATATGTATCAAAATTACCTGTTTTCCGGTCCTGGGTAAGGTTTCCATGTTAGTCCCATTGACCACTGGGGCCTTTTCGCTAACACCACCATTTGGGGTACTGCCGTTGCCCAACGCCATACTATATGCACAAACTATCACCAAACAATGTCATACGAATAGTTTTCACGCACAACAAGAAAACGCTATCGCATTTTCAAACTAATTTTCCTCAACGCCGAAAGAAAACCAGCTACTGAACATCAAACACAACCGCGTCGAAAATCAAGTCTGCAATGAATTTTTTATTTTCCCGACCTGTTAAGCTACTGAAGTATCACACGTTATCGATATTCGCTCTATCTCTTTCTAATATATGAAGTGAGCTATTCGAAATTTCCAGCAGTATTTCGTTTCTCTTTATACGATATTCTCTCTGCGTCTACCACGCATTAAATAGCACATCTGTTTGAGAAGGACAAAACATAATGGTTTTAAATTTTCTTACGCATGTCGTGTGGCTATAGAAATTCGGTTTAGTCTGGCGCATTCGTCATATTGTAAAATTATAATAAATTTTCTTTTAAATTTTACAGACCAATGTTAGAGACTGTAAATTTTAAATTTTATTTTCCCCATTTAATAATAAGTAACTTTTATTAGAAAATTATTAAAAAATCCAGAATTATAAGTCTTCTAAAATAATAAATTAATTTTATGAGACAATGTTAAACACAAATTTTTATATTCTTTGCCTGTTGCCTGGTGGACCTGTCTGAAATTTTTGTGCCTTATCTCTGCTGAAATTTAACGTATAATGTGTATATTGTGATTTTGGTTCATCCGTTCACCCTGTATAAGCAAATAACTTTGTAGGGAAATGCCAAACCAGACCAAACCGAACAAAATTATATGAAAGACCCGCTTTAACAAGAGCACCTGTTGATTTTTTGGCAGTTAAACATTTCTCCCTGTGTTATTAGATGTATATTTTTTATTAAAAAAACAGTTGCATTATAGTACTAAAAAAGCTGTAACATGCATAAATCTACAAAGGCCAATTTGATGACGTTAAGTCTAAATTTTAAATAAATAGTTTCGTCAACATTAAATTACCCATTTTAACTAAATGACGGAAATCAAGTGTATCAATTTGGAAATGAATTACTTTTGAACAATAGAGAGGAAAAGGTATGTTAAAAATTTTTTATGTTTACTAATTCTGTGAAGTATCATCGTTTTGATTTTGTCAATTTAATTATGTAACTTTCACGGTCACGGTGACATGCAGGGCAGTGTAGTAGTTAAAAAAAATTGGCGCCGGGAGACACGTATAGCAGCCCATACTAACATATATTTAATAAAAAGTTGGTAGGTAGTTCTTTTAGTTTCAAAGTAAAGGAATTTTTCCAATTTTTTTTTATCTCAAAAACTGCGACTTTGACTGATTTTGATGTTTTTACAAATTTTGTTGCAAATATTATTCCTAATCTTAAATTGAAAACCGCGTTTCGCTAGCTACTGTAATTTTGGAGTAACGATTTTCTAAAAATTTTTACCCCCTCCCATAGCCCCTTACTAACCCCCCACCCCCACCAAAAACTAATGGCTAGATTCTCGGGTGTCACAATAGTTTTGTGCCAAATTTGGTTAAAATCGGTTTAGCGGTTTTTGAGTTATCGTGTTATAGACGGAGAGGCAGATAGACAGACAGACACCATAAAAATATTTTGTATTTAGGTCATTTATGACCCAAATAACTCATTTTGCGTGAAATTAAAAAAACTTTTTTTTCCCGATCTTAATAGCCTCCCATACCTATTGGTCTGGTCGGCTAATAAAGGTTTTAGAAAAAAAAATATACATACAGTTCGTCTGCTGGATCTGTCTCTATGAAAGGAATGCGGACAAAAAACATTTAAATAAACAGCAATATATTTTATACGCCGACTTGACGAGTACGTCACCGCAAATCGCTCCGCCCACACATTTTATTGGCTACTTGCAAATTTGTCGAATTTTTATTGATAGGACGCGTCGTCTAATTTTTTACGAAAAACATCGAGGGAATATCGTTTCCCCTCTCACGAATACCCCGTAGCCACAGAACGGACAGACGTACTGTAAGTCTCCTTTTTGCTGTCCTAGATGTGGTGTACTAAGTTTACCAGGACTGCGAACCACAATCGTCAGCCATTCTGACGTGTTAATAACACGTTATAATGAAGACAAATCCTCCAGCGTCCACCTTACGGGTAACTCAGCCGAAGATAAGTTGATCGACTATGAAGGGCACGGAGGGCTAAACCCAATCGTGGAACAACAATTTCACATAGGTCGCGTATGCTCCGTCCGGATGTTGTTCATATAAACAAATGGTACTTGCGCGAAGTCGCGGAAGTCCGTTCCATCTGAAAGCGCTGTTATATACTTCAGGTTTTCAGTGCACAATGGATTTCAAGCAGTTTTGAAATTCGTTGAACATTGAGAGAGTTATTACTGCTGCTACTCATATTGTGTAATTAGAAAAACTATATATTTTGAACTATACAATATAATTTATATATTGTCTTCTTTATTTATGTGTATTTTATATTAAGTGTTAAGTTTTTGTTTATTCCATTTTCACAATGTTCCATGCCCGCAGGCTTTTGTAACCTTTGTTTATTCAGAACAAATAAATTATCTATCTATCTATCATTTGTGCAACTCATTAAAAACTACCGTCAACTGCCGTTCATTGGCAGATTCTTCAGGAACGACTTGTGTTGCACAGTTTTTTTGCCAAGTTGATCTCCTTAAGGTTAAATTCAAGAGTGACACACGATGTCTTCAAGATATTCCTTTTACTATCGATCCTATCTCGCGAGAGGATGTATCATAGGGGCAGTTCTATCTGTGATTTTAATGCACATGTAAATTATATTTTCTGTCATTTTTTGGATGCCGTCTGTCGAAATTTTTCACTCGAGAAACAGTTCAAGTATATTTGATATAATCCTTACATTTGTTTGTGCCTTCCTGCAAAAAAACTAATTTCTACTGAAAAAAGACTATATTTGCAGCCTTAAAAATCGATCGGGCACCGCCTCTGCTTTCTTGAGTATTCAAAAAGAGAAAGCCATTGTTTTGACTTTGTGTTACGTATATTTTCTTCAATTCTGCGATAAAAAAAACTGTCAGACCAACCCCTGTTTATAAAAAAAACTTCATTTGAAAATAATGTGTGATCGAATGAAAACTGCATACATATGTAGTAGAGACATACTAGGTGGTGGTCGATTTTTCAACCAAAGACTTTTAAAGCAAATAGATAATATGTAATGATCTAATGTATAAACTGTATGTATCATCCAATGTAAGAAAAAAGAGTAAGTTCGTTTTGTTATCTCTGTTAGCTCTCTACTCAAAAATATGCCCATATTAAGTAAATCAAATTTTGTTTTTCGAGAAACTTGCATCCTATGAGAAATGATACAGGATATGTTTAGAAAATATCATCCGAGCCGTAAATTTGGTGCACTAAATAAAAAGAAATATACGTTACAGACACATTTGTTTCTATATTTTTAAATTTTTATCACACGAAATTTGCATAGAAAATGCTTAGACGACATCGCAATTATTACCTATATGGAACACAGCAAATTCAGTGTCACCAATGCTCACTGGTCGAATATTTAACCGCTAACGTTAACTTTTCGCGCCAATTCGGCCAACGTATATATGGTTGATTAAATGGCCAAAGCGCGCATAGAAATAAGCATAGCAAACAAACTGGGCGATGATACACTTCCACGCGACTGATTAGTTGGTTGAATTAAATTGGTCGATTTAGCAACCATCAACCTATAAAGGGTTAATTTAAATTAATTAAGATTATAGTGATCTTCTAATTTACCAGTTTATACTATGAATCAATATATAGTTGGTTAGATGATGATATGGTTTATTGAATCTATATCTACAGGGTCCGGCAATAGAGCGTCGGGCATCTGTAGCTCCTAAAATAAAAAACTTAAGAATTTTGTTTAAGCGCAAATCTAAAGTATGCTCTAGGATGTATTCTAGGAAAATATTTTAACTTTTATAGGGTGGCTCAAAAAAGTGTGAGTGGATCGGGATGATTTTTTTTTAAATGGAACACCCTGTATATTATTGCATTTTTGGTTTCTTTTCAGATTACTTTACATAATCCTAAGATATGAGTAAATATGTTTCGATAGTTTCAGAGATATTATTAAATAAATAAAAAATATATATTTTTCAGCCTTTCTTAAAAAAATTATTCAAAATACAAGAACTATCCTGAAATCAAAACTATACTTAGGTCTTTACTTTACATGGTCTGTACTTACCTTGCTATAAATATGGTAATCGTAAATCATGCAGGATGTTCAAAATTCTACCCCAAACTTTCTAAAATATATCATAACTTTTCTTCGTTTTTTTAAATGGAACACCCTGTATATTATTTTTGCAATAGATGGAGTATTAAAAAATGAACATTTTTTGTATTTAAAGTATTTCAAAATTTTTTGCAATTTCGCAGATATTCGCGGTTATATATTTCATATGGCATTTTCCTTAGTAAATTTTTATCAAAGCCACCCAATGATTTTACTCTCGTATTTTACCGTTGAGAGAGCCATATGAAATAATACTGCGTGTATCTGCAAAACCATTAAAATTTTTGAAATACTTTAAATACAAAAAATGTTCATTTTTTAATTCTCCATGTAATAAAAAAATAATATACAGGGTGTTCCATTTAAAAAAAAAACAAAGAAAAATTGTTTTATATTTTAGAAAGTTTGGCCTAGAATTTTAAACATCCTGTATGATTTAAAATTACGATATTTACAGCAAAGTTAAATATGGACCATCTAAAGTAAACACCTAATATAGTTTTGATTACAGGACAGAAAAAAATCATCCCGATCCACTCCCACTTTTTTGAGCCACCCTATAGAAGTTAAAATATTTTCCTGAAATACATCCTTGTACAAGGCTTGTACATACTTTAGGTTTACACTTAAACAAAATTCCCAAGGTTTATATTCTAGGAACTACAGATGCCCGACGCACTATTGCCGGACCCTGTATATCCATTTTGTTGTTTTCCTTGTTGTTGAAATATTTTTGTTATTGGAAGGCTTCTTTGCTGTCGTAGAAGACATACATATAAATAGTAGACGTATAAGCGTCTCTATGTCAAGAAACTGTAAAGCTGGAACTGAAATGTTATTTTTGTGCCTAATATTATGTGATCGTTTTTATTCAGTCACACTTATATTTAATATTAATATTTATTGCCTTCCCAATAAGTTAGACATAATAGTTCTGGTACCAGATGTGTCTACTTAATTACAGCATATCAGATGCAGCGTAAGAATCATGTCACGGGCATTTTCTATAATTTCTTCGATAACTACGTCCTCGGGAGACCTGAATGAATTCCCATCAAACACAGATGTATATACGATTATAATTATATATAAAGTAAAACATAAGTAGCCCTCCATTCACAGATCTTATTAATGTATATATTTATTTCAAGAGGATTGTTTGGGGTTTAATTACCCCATCATCATCAGACTAATTAAGAGTTTCAGATAGGGAAATCTTGTGATTTTTGATCTTACTAAATTTTTATTATTAATATTTTAAAATAATTACACTATGGCATTCTGTATTTGGCCGTTGTAATTGTGAAGTAATTGTTTTACTGAAAGCTCGTATATGGTTGTAAATAGTACGGGAACTATTATATTTTGGCATATTTTGGCATAGACAACCTTATACAAAGTTGCCTTAATTTTCGACGGTGTTGGCATTGTATCACGGATCGTTTGTCCATGCGATCTGTGATATGCCAACAACGACAGTGCCGAAATTAAGAGTCCCAACCTATTCCAATTGACCATAATTTTTACTATTAATATTCAAAAAATTTTAAATAATTGTTTCGATTAAATTTTTTTTATTTTTTTTTATTTATTTTAGATTATAAAAAAAATCACAATAAATTAGGTGATATAAAGCCATGCACGGGTGACTATACAGGGTGAGTCTTAAATAAGTACAAATATTTTCAGGGTCGGTAGATCTCGATAAAAGAAACATATTTCCTCATTACCGTTTTTCCAATAAGTCCAAAATAACCGAGCTATTTTACTTTGAAAATTTCCAAAAAAAAAATATTTTTGCTTAAATTTGGTTCTCAAAATTTAACTGGATCGTTTTTTTTCGGAAAACCCAACTGGATCTTTTCTGGGTTTTCGTTCTTGTAAATTTAATCTACTTCCTATGTCGCCATATTATCAAGAAATTATGTTTTTTAGCTAAAAATTAAAAAAATCCACATTTTCAAAAAAAATTTGTTCGCGAAAATAACCTCACAATCGTGTTTCTGTGGTCAAAATATACAACCCCTAAAAATATTATTTGCATTTATTTAAGACTCACCCTGTATATCCAGGGTATATTATCGAGCATATTACAATTAAAATTAAAAAAAAACAAATCGTACACGATGAGTACTCAGAGTACCTCAAGAGCATTCTGGAAATTAAAAGACAGGGTTTTCCATAATCATGACTTGAGCACAAAAACGAAACTTGCTGTGTACCGAGCAATAATAATCCCCACCATGTTATATGGAAGTGAAACCTGGGTGCCTTTAAGCAAAAAAATATTTTTTGCTTAAATTTTAAGAACCACTGGATCTTGGGTATAGTGTAGAGTCTGTCCAACGAGGCAGGGAGATTTCGACAGATGACATCCGAAAACGGTATAAGTATGTATTAAATTAAAGTTAAAATTAAAATATTTTAACTTCTACAGGGTGGCTCAAAAAAGTGTTAGTGGATAGGGATGATTATTTTTAAAATAATGGAAAACACCCTGTATATTATTGCATTTTTGGCTTCCTGTTTGATCAATTTGCGTAAACCTAAGATATATTAAATATGTTTTGATAGTTTCAAAGATATTAATAAATAAGTAAAAAAAAAAATTTAGGCCCTTTTAAAAAAATTTCTTATTAAGACAAGAAATGTCCTGAAATCAAGACTATATTAGGTATTTACTGTAGGGGGTTTGTACTTACTTTGCTACAAATATCGTAATCTGATGGTTAAAGATTAGGGTGTTCAAAATTGTATGTCAAATTTTTTAAAATATAAAATAGTTTTCTTTGTTTTTTTTTAAATTGAACACCTTGTATATTATTCCTTTGTTAGATGGAGAAATAAAAAATAAACATTTTTTGTATTTAAAGTATTTTTAAATTTTCAGCCGTTTAGCAAATTTTGGCGGTTTTATTACATATGGCTTTTTCAACGGTAAAATACCATCAGACAAAAATCATTGGGTGGCTTTGATTAAAACATTACTGTTGAAAATCCCATATGTAATATAATACCACTAATATCCGCAAAACCGTTAAAAATTTTGAAATACTTTAAATAAAAAAGTATTCATTTTTCACTTCTCTATCTAATAAAAAACATAATATACAGAGTGTTTATTATTTAAAAAAAATATATATTTTTTTTACTTATTTATTAATATCTTTGAAACTATGAAAACATATTTAATAATATCTTAGGATTAAGTGATCAAAAAGGAAGCCAAAATGCAATAATACCGTATGATCGAGAAAAAACGGCGTCCAGTTGGCTGAGAAATGAAGATCGCTGTCATTTTATATGTAAATTTATATGGGAAATGTCATCGATCGTCATTTCCCAGCCAACTGGACGCCATTTTTTTTCGATCATACGGTATTTTGGGTGTTATTAAAAATTATTTACCATTTAAAAAAATCATCCCTATCCACTCACACTTTTTTGAGTCACCCTGTAAAGGTTAAAATATTTTCCTGAAATACATCCTAATACATACCTACTATCGAAACATATTTACTCATATCTTAGGATTATGTAAAGCAATCTGAAAAGAAACCAAAAATGCAATAATATACAGGGTGTTCCATTTAAAAAAAATCATCCCGATCCACTCACACTTTTTTGAGCCACCCCATAAAAGTTAAAATATTTTCCTAGAATACATCCTAGAGCATACTTTAGATTTGCACTTAAACAAAATTCTTAAGTTTTTTATTATATGAGCTACAGATGCCCGACGCACTATTGCCGGACCCTGTATATTGTTAAAAAAAGACTATAGTAATAGATACTTAAATGAGATATATAATTTCCCATTTTACTATTACGTAAAAAGTCTCATCGGGGAAATTTTTTTAATAAAAAATCAGATTTGTTTAATCTTTTAAACAATGTAACTAAAAAAAATTAAAAAAATGTACTTGACGCCACTGCATTATAATTGTTTCGACTGAAAATCTGCGTTGAATAGGCTCGTCGTTTATATAAAAAGAACCTTCGATGTACCCGGAACATTCAACATTGTGTCTCTTACCTTCTTAGAGGTGTAATATCGGTAAAAATGGTTGCAAAATTACATGTAGCTCTATTAATTGTCACTATAATCGCGGCATCACTTCAAACATCTCTAGCGGTAAGTTCAAAGAATTTCTTCTTATTTCCAATCAAAAACATGGATATTTTTAGGCCCCCAAACCATCAAACAAAGAGCTTTTAGAGCACAGCATCGCTGAATATTTGCGCCATGATAAACAACTTGTACAAGAATTGAAACAACTTGGATTTGGTAAATATTTAGATTATTTTAAAATACTAGATATACTTATTTTTAAATTCAGCCTAAAACAGCAAAAGTTAATCATTAATATAAATATTTCTTTTACATAATTTGCATTATATACATTTGTGAAGTTTACATCATAATTTAAGTACTTTTATATAGTAAACACAATTAAGTAGCGCGATAGATTGAAAACATATTTTTGAGTAATATTTGGGTAAAAGCACACAGTTTCACTGTTTTTTTTTCAAAAATTTCGAAGCAGCCATTTTTAAGGATTACTTTTCAGATATAATACAATATGATCGAAAAAAAAATACGGCGTCAGCGATGGCTATGAAATGAAGATCGCTATTATTTTATATGTAAAACTAGCGTGTACCCGCGACTTCGTTCGCGTCGAATTAATCATTTGTAATGGTGATGATAAAGCAAAGCAAGAATTTCCGTAGTTTCATGGTTTCATCTCATTGGAATTTGATTTATTTTTGATATTACAGTTTCATCCAATTTTTATTAAAAATATCGATTTAAGAGCGTATTGTGTTTTCTAGCGAGCCAATAAATGGCTTTTAAGAGATTTATTGCTTAGTAGGGCTCAGATTTATCAGGTTTTACCAGAAAAATTAGGTTTAGAAGCAATTTATTCGTTTAGAAAGAATGTTACTCTATTCGTGTATGTTTATTATGTAATTTATAACATAATAAATAAATGTATAATAGGAAACTAGTGATATTGTTAAGTATTTGTAATAATTATACGTAAAATGTACTAGTTTCCTAGTATGTAGAAAAATTATAATAGATAATTATTTTACCTAATTTGTTCCAAGGAGAACTCATTTTTATATAAAAAAATGGGGTTCAAGAAATTGTAGATATTGCCGACTCACAGTTTTGTTCAATTATTTTTTATGACTGACAAAATTCATTGAGCTAATCTTTCTTCTATGAGCGATTTATGAATAAACGGATGAACCACATAGAACTAATAATTAATTATACTTAGTGGAAGTTTATTAAAAATGCTTATTTTTATCAATTTTTATCTTGAGCTTGAGTTAGTACTTAAGAGAATAAGGATACTCTAGGGGTACTATGTATCTATCCATGTATAAAAAGAGAAGTATTGTAGTTGCGGCTATTTATATATATTTTTATCAGCCATTATTACACTAATTGACACCAAAAACAGACTTCTTAAAATTTTCATGCATTTTAGTGTTCAATATATTTTGATCGTGTGTTGATTTTAATGATTTTTTAAGCAACATGTAGCTAAATTATTTGACTTTTTAGTCTTTCTTTTTAAATTAAACATTTAAGAGTCCCCATCTGTCTATTATACTAGAGAAAGCAAAATGTTATTTGATGAAAGTTTGAAACACCCTGTGGAATGATTTAACAAAGTTAGGAATTTAAAAACCACTGTATCATCAAGATGAATCTTTTCCCGATAGTTTGTTTTTTGATTCAACTCAATAGCTTAATTTTTGTTGGAGATATTCACTTTTGAAGAAGACAGTAAAATAACGATTAAAAGAATTTCTTTGCTTTTGGCGTTAACCAACATACCTATGAAACATTGTTTATTGTTTTTGAAATGTCACTCTCATTGGAAAGTCATATTATTATTGTTTGTTGACAGTTACTCTAGCAGAGATGGTTTTAAGTTCAAAAGAAGTTGTATCTACTGTTGCTTTAATTTTAATACAATAATACTAATAATATAATACTATAATATGTTATGTAATATTTGAGGGGCGTTTTCACCCTCTTAGAATTTGAGATTCGAGAAACCCTCCTTATTGAACCTCTACACCCCACAGTCAATCCGTTTGACAAAAATCAGCTTTAAACATCAAGCAGTTTAAGCAGAATCGTGATTAGTCAATGGTCATATTTTATGAAACACCCTGTATAAATTTATAAAAAATCTTAAAATATGTAAAACAACAAAATAAAATATACGTGTTTAAGAGTGTTTCCGAAAAACTCACCGGTTTTTAAATAAAAAAATATTTTAATATTTGAGGGATAGTTTCACCCCCTTAGAATTCGAGTTTCGAAAAATCCCTTCTTATCGAACCTCTACACCCTAAAGTCAATCTGTTTTCCAAAAATCAACTTTTTATGTCAAGCGCTTTAAGCAGGATCGTGGATTAATCAATGACCAGACTTTTCGAAATACCCTGTATACATTTTTAAAAAATCTTAAAATATGTAAAAACAAAAATAAAATATACGTGTTTAAGCGTTTTTTTTCGGAAACTTGGCCGTTTTTAAAAAAAATATTGTAATATTTGAGGTGGTTTCACCCTCTTGGAACTGGAATTTCGAAAAATCCTTCTTATCGAACCTCTACACCTAGAATCAACCTGTGTATGCCAAAATTGAGCTTCTTACGTTGAGTGGTTTTGAGCAGGATCGTGATTAATCAGTATGTCAGTCACCTGATTTTATATATTAGTAGAGATAATATTTTATGAAAACGGAAGGGGAGCCGATATGGAAGGTATAGTGAGAATCAACCTTAAAACCTCTTGTTTTTTCGGTCGTAAGTCCTGATACCAGTGGCGTAACTAGGGGCTAGGGGAGGGGGGGTCTTAGCACCCCAAATGACTGGTTCGGGTTGTATAAAATTGGTTTTAACTTCCAATAAATATTATTTTATTGTGACCTAAGCCCCCCAAAAGACTTGAGCCTCCCTAAATCTGTGTTTAGTTGCGCCCCTGCCTGAGGCACTTTAGGGATACCTTATACCTTGGGTACACTTTTTGACCTTTTTGTGCATGTCGCTTACACAACTCTTAAGTCACATCGGACAGAAGCCTAAACGGGCGTTATGGTGACAGCTTGCATGCAATATCTAGCGACGAACCTCCCAAAAGGTGTTCGATATATCTATCCGTTTTACTAATTTATTCTCTTTCGTTTAAACGTTAGATATTCTGTTAGTTACCGAGATCGAACACCCACAGGGCGTTATTTATAAGCCATAAAAATGTATGGAAACAGCTAGTTGCTTGGACTGAATATAGGTTATAAAAATAAGTATAGAGTATATTATATAAATGTTGACAAAATAATAAATTAAAAATTAATAAATACATAATTTGATTCACTTTTACAAAATTTGTATTAAAATAACCGTCTATCTGTCTGTCCCTCGGTCTGTCCGTCTGTCCGTTTGTATTGTATAGTATAATTATGTATACACTGAAAAAATTAATTTGTGAATTTAATAACAATATTGACGGTTATTCCTTGCCACAGATTATTGTAGTAAATTTACCATCCGTTCTTTAGTTTTACAACTCTTCAGTTTTTACAACATTTGTAAAATCGCTGTATGTCTAATTTATGGCATGTTTGTAAATATGTTATAATATATTTATTTACAGTACAAGTGTGTTTATGAACATGATTACAACAACGAATGTGAACGATTAGTGTTCACACGAGTGTTGTAATCATGTTTAAACGCAAGTGTCATGTACAACGTTTTATCTACAACCGAAAAATAAGAAAATTCTGTTTTAATTTTCGTTTATTAGTCGCCCACCTATAACACCTTTAACTATGACATTTGTCACATAGTTGTTTTTCATTATTATAAAAACTAGTTGTGTTATAGATTCATAACACCAGTATAAGTCTGTCCAACGAGAAGATCCTTGACAGTGATAGATGTGTCTGTCATTTGAATTTCAAAGTAGTTTATTTTATTTTTACAAAGAAATAAGTTGGTACAACTGGAACGCATAGCAGGAAATTATTATATTTAAAATTTGACTGACAAGTGATTACTTCAAAATATTGTCAAAAAACTGTATAAAGCTGAAAAATGTAATCGAGTTATTTAATTTAATAAAAACGGTATGTGTTAATACAAAACAAACACGAACAAGACACCACATACCAAAAAAATAAAAAAAAGAACTATTTCTTACTTTCAAGCTTTATGAAACTTCCCGCATTTATGATTATATTTATCAATATAACCTTATGTACAAATACAAATTTGTAATATTCCGCAGGAATAAATAAAACAACATAAATAAAACAAACTATTTTATTATTAATAACACTTACCAAATTTTAGAGGTACCTTAAAGGTTGATTAATTAACTTTAATCATAAGTTTTTAAACCAGTACCTTTGGCATTATTTTTCTTGTGCAGTACTAAAATCCATTATTTACGTATCGTGTGATGTCGATATTTTACAGCTACTCCAGTTTTTAGTATGTGTTTAGTATGGTCCTTCTACCATATTCGAGAGGGACTTATCTACGATGAGATGGTATACGAACTTTAATGATGGTAACTTTATTGGTGTATAAGACTTTTTGCCCGGGCAGCGAGTATTAACCATAAACTGGTGCTCTGGGTCTACAGTTAATTTTAACTCGATTTTTCTTCCACTTGACTTCAAAAGACACAAAACACATGTAATAACACGAATCAAAATGCATCATCTTCCAAAACGCAGGGTATTTGACAAAACTGACAAAAGTTGACACAAAGTTATAACCTCTAATTTGGTAAGATTTTGACAAGCGTCAAAAATCTAAAGGCAAGTTCATACGCATCGGCGTCCGTTTGTCGTTCATCGTTCCGTCAAACCAGTAAAATTGAAATACGATCTGTCATTTCTGAAATAAACCAATAAAACTGGTTAAAAAACAACAAGAGACAACGCATGACGGATTTATATTTAAACCCATCCATAGTTAACTTAAAGATTATTAGAAACTTTTTAGTAAAATAAATAGATTGGTATGGGACGTCATCTGCTTTTTCTTCTGTCATCGTCGGTCGAAATTCACCTGAGAAAAAAAACAGAGTATAGTTGTGTTATGAATCTCATAACGTAACTGAAATACTAAAAAATAGTGATGTAAAAACGTTATAACTAAAACGGTTGTAGATAAAAGCAATTAATAAAACACGTGGTTATAATTATTATAATATTTATTATAAAGGG